CTATATGTACACATGTAGCCAGGTATAAATAGACACATGTAGCCCGGTCTATAAATACACATAATTGCCAGGTCCATATATATACAAGTAGCCAGGTCTATATATACACCTGTAGCCAGGTCTATATTATACACATGTAGCCAGGTCTATATCATACACATGTAGCTAGGTCTAAAATAATATACCCCTGTAGCCAGGTCTAAAATGATATACCCATGTAGCCAGGTCTATAATAATGTGCACATGTAGCCAGCTGTATAATAGTTTACACATGTAGCCAGGTCTATGTATAAATACATGTAGCCAGTCTCTATATGTAGCCTGGTCTATAATAGTTTACACATGTAGCCAGGTCTATGTATAAATACATGTAGCCAGGTCTCTATATGTAGCCAGGTCTATAATAATATACACATGTAGCCAGGTCTATATGTACAGATATAGCCAGGTCTATAATAATATGCACATGTAGCCAGGTCTATATATACACATGTAGCCAAGTTTATGTACACGTGTAGCCAGGTCTATATATACACATGTAGCCAAGTTTATGTACACATGTAGCCAGTTCTATATACACACATGTAGCCAAGTTTATGTACACATGTAGCCAGATCTATATATACACATGTAGCCAAGTTTATGTACACTTGTAGCCAGGTCTATATATACACATGTAGCCAAGTTTATGTACACATGTAGCCAGGTCTATATATACACATGTAGCCAGGTCTATGTACACATGTAGCCAGGTTTATGTACACATGTAGCCAGGTCTATGTACACACAATAGCCAGGTCTATATATACACATATAGTTTATATATGTAGCCAGGTCTATATATACACATGTAGCCAGATCTATAATAATATACACATGTAGCGTGGTCTATAAATACAAGTATTCAGGTCTATATATACACATGTAGCCAGGTCTATATTATAGACATGTAGCCAAGTCCATATATACACACGTAGCCAGGTCTATGTACTCATGTAGCCAGGTCTGTGTACACATGTAGCCATGTCTTTAAAAACATGTAGCCATTTCTTTATATACACATGTGGCCAGGTCTTTATACACACCGGTAGCCAGGTCTGTGTACACACGTAGCCAGGTCTTTATATACACATGTAGCCAGATCTCGATACACATGTAGCCAGGTCTGTGTATACATGTAGCCACG